AAGAAAACAAAATAGAAAAAAATTTCTTAATTTTTTGTACTCAAAAAATGAACACAAATTTTTTCTTCATAGGAAGAATAATAGTTATTGCAGAAAAAAAAAAAATGATTGCAGAAATTCTTTTTTTTGCTTTTCCCCCCTATTTTTTTCTCTTTTTCTGCTGCTAATGTTTTCAGTGGTGCATAAAAATCAAAAAAAAAAACAGTGTTTAAAACTGTCTTTGTTGTTGTTGTTTTTTTTTGCTCACCAAAAAAAAAAAAACTAAAAAATTTGTTTATCTAAAGTTTTTTAATTCTGTTTATTCTATTTTGTTGTTTCGCCACTTTTCAAAGGTATATTTAACAAAAAAAAAAAAATGATAAAAAATAAAATAAAATAAAATGAATAAAAAATAAAGGAATTGGTAAAGTAAAAAAAAGCATTAAATGAATTAGCAAAACTATTAGAAATTTAAAATCAACATACATAAGAAAAAAAAATGATAAATTTATTGTCTTATATAGTATATAAGTTTATTTGTCAAGAAGCTGAAGAAAAATTTATCAGAGGAAATGTTTGTGGCTTACAGCATAATTGAAAAAAAGCATTTATCTTTCTCGTTATAAAAACACTATTATTTATATAGTAATTTTAATTTTCTGTATATCTGCATTTCACCATGTTCACCGGAAATCGTTTCCATAACGAGCTGTAAACTTCAAACATTTTTCGGATGATGCCGCGGTAGAAAAATAGGCACTTTTTAGGTCTTTTATCTTAAAACTCTAAAAATTTTGAAAAAAAACACTGGAGTAAAACCAAAAATTTGTTCTTCTTCCGTCTCATACGCAAATCAGTGATAATGGATAAACGATTGCAGATCTGAAACCATGTTTTGAACGATACCTTGGCGAACGACTGATCAATTTGTATCCGTACCATAGTGAATGGCGTATGAAAACCGTCGAAGAATGCCTTGAGTTCTGTGCCGCATCATCAGTGAGTAGTTCGCAAAAAAAATTATGGTTTTTTTTGTTTGTTGAAACTATTTAGCTGAAAAAAAGCACTTTCTTCTTCCGAATTTGTTACATTGATATTGATACCAGTGATTTAGAAGACTCAATTACGTCTAAACAGCGGTTCTATAAGCAATGAAGCACATTTCTCTTTGTGTAAATCTAAAAATCATTTTTCGGAAAGATTTTAGTGTTTCATCAATTTCTCACTATCATTTCCACCAGAATCTTATGGACTTCTTCTAATATACGTCGATAAATTTAATAAAGTTCCGAAAGAGGAAAGAATTGTTAAGTAAACATCTTTTTTAGTCACGATGCAAATCAATTGTTCACGAACGGCATAAACATATTTGTCATTATTTCTTGGAAGATGGGAGTGATCATGCTATTCCTTCTGCCGGTTCAATTTACTTGAAAGTTACTGCTAAAGAATGTTTAGGTAACTGACTGCAACCATATTTTTTTTTTGAAAAACTTTCTTTACACTTTAAAAAGCGCTAAACAAATGTTTCTTTAGAGACCACATTAATTAGATAAAATATTTTTAGACAGAGCTCGCAAGTTAGGCGCTGATATGGCAGAGGTTGCCAGTACGCCTGCACCAGTCCATCAGGAAACAGCTCCTATTGATGAACAAGTTTCTACCACAGCTCCCTTGCTTATTCTCAATCACTACAACAAGACATTTATCGATCAAGAACCAAACCGGGAACGGCTTCTTCGACTGCTTCAAGAAACTGCTACAGATCCTGACTACTTTTATAAAGTACCCGAAAAAAGTACAGAATCCAAGAGTGATAATTTAGGTGCTATTACTTCAGATCAGAGTGAATCTTCTAAAACCCAGTCAGTTAGAACCAAGAGTAAAGAAGTTAGAATTCCGAGTATAAACATGGGAACAGCACAAGTAGCCGATACTGACGAAGAAATTCCGTACACTGCACGTCCAACAGATATTGTACCATCCAAAGAATTTCGTCCAATTTCTGAACACTTCTCACCAAATACTTTTGAGGAACTTGCTGGTGAAAGTGAGAAGCACAGAAGCTATGGGAAAACAGGAGAAGGTCAAGTTAACGATGACATGCCTGATTATATAAAAGAATACTTCAAGCACTACAAGCAGAACGCACTGGAAGAAATAAGACGAGCACCAGTTAGAAATCCTAGTACTCAGAGCTTTAAAAATGTAGAGGTATTATTTTTTATAAATAATACCATTCATTTTAGAAATAGTGGAATTAGTTAATATGCTGGTATCTAGTGGCGTTAAAGAATTATGTAGTCATTAAAATACTAGTCGCCTATTCAGGAAGAACATATGGAACCAATTGATTGGAAAACAACAGAATTTGTTGCTCCGCGAGCTCAAAACATCGATTTGCCCAGCGAATACCGAACAAGTGATCAGTCTGAAGAAGATGACGGTTCTATAAAACCACCGCAATTAATTTTAGAAAAGGAAGACGGCTCAGAAAACAGTAAGAATGTTCACGATTCAACAGTTCCCTCGTATATACCGATGGCCAAAAGTTTTGTAGCAAGTTTAAATGAAGCTGCTGGAAAGATCAATGTAAGAAATTTTAATTAGAGTTGAACGAAAATGCTCAAACAAAAAAGCCACTTAGCTTCTCCTTGTCGAAAAAATTTAAAGCTGAGTCGAACTTGTTAGCAAATTTCTGCAAGGTTATAAACTGTTGTAGGATGACGATTATGTAAGAAACATTGAATCGGATTTAACAACAGAGTCATCATTTCCACAAGAACAGTCATACGTTGAAGCTCCCTCATCAAGAAACGCTCACGTGCATCCTCGTATAAAGTTGATAGCTACAAAAATGACAAAACCGGAAAAGGAAGAAATAGCTGATTTACCAGGTGCGTAACAAATACTTCTGATTTTTTCTCAAAACTTTTCGCTTAAACAAAGACTTCTTGAAGGAAAACAGCTAATACTCTGATTCTTTTTTGATTATGAAAAGTTTGAGGATTACGAAAGACAAAGTAAAAATACATTAATGCCATTTTGATATCACACTGCCTGATGTTATTTTTTTACAGCCTGCAAGAACGAAGAAATCCCTGTATGGTTAACGGTAGAAAATGCTATTCTGGGAATCAGAAGTTTACAGAAAAAAACTGACGCTGACTACGCAGAAGCCTGTAAGGCTAAATGTAATTTAATTACTGTAAGTATTTCTCATTATTTTCTCTACGAGTTTTTCACTGAAAAAATTGTTAACCTTTCCTACTTTACTGGAGTCAGACTACTTTTTTTTTTCAGATATATATCACCTAATTGTCAGTAAAATCTTATCTATTTCTATTCATTTCTTAAATTTATGCTTAATTTAAAAGCTTATGTATTTATATGGGTATATCAAAGTCACAATTCAAAAGTTAGATATGTGGTTTATAATGGTGTGCTAAAAAAAAGATATACAAATAGCAGAATAATCTATTAATGACAGTAAAACAAGCGAAAATATAAAAAGAAAACCAAGCATTTTTTTTCCACGTACCTCTTCTAGACAGTAATTTCTAGAATGCTGGTCGAGATTGTCCTGCTTTCACCTACGATGAAACCGAACAAAAGTGTATTCTGTATACCAGTGACTTAGAAGCTGTCGAAAAACTTTCATATAATCGAGCAAATTTGAACGATTTTAGCATTCGTACTTCAACAAAATTTTGCTATCCAGGTTGGTACATAATTAATACCATTTTAAATTTGGACCGTACTTTCTACTCTTATTTTTAAGTACTTTTTTTCTTTTTAGACGGCCTCGAACTATTCAAGAACTGCAGCGAATTTACCGCTTTTCATGACTATGTACTTGACGTTTTGCCTCGCGAAGAATTTGACGGCATGCCATACGGCAAAGAGGGACTTCACGCATGCCTTGAACTTTGTGTTCTCTCTCCCAACTATTATTGCAAAGTTAGTCTATAACAAACTATTATAATCTACTTTAAATGAAAAAGTTACCAGTTAATATCGTAAAACTTAAAATGCTAAAATTTGTTAGTTCTTTTTGTTCTATTAAAACTAAAAAAGACAGTCGTGTACATTTATAGTCAGCAACATTCATAACCGACAAAGGGATATGTCGATTAAGTGAAGAAAATTCATTGTCAAGGCCAGAGAATTTTCGTGAAGCTAGTGATACAAAGCAAATTTATTTTGAAAACACCTGTGATCGATACTACACAGGCTTAAGAGGTAGGTTTTAATAAAGTGAAAAACAACAATGCAAAAAGACCATACCAAGCAGAAAAAATTGCTATATTTGTTTCTGCTGATATGGCAAGGTTTAGGTAACACTGGAGTTCATATTGAAAGAGTCACTGTTACTCCATTGTTAAAGCCAGTTCGTATACAGCCGAGACAGGATTCACCAGAGGTACTGTATGAACAGTATCCTTTGATATCACAAGTTCGCAGTTTCGTTACCTCATAAAAATTTTCGTAATTCAGCTGCTACGTAAAAAAATTTTAAATTGATTTGATTAGAATATGAAAACTTATTTTGCCTCTTAGAAAATGTTGTTAGTTCTATGCTTCTTGTTCGGTTCTCACTTAAGTACAGAACTCTGTCTGTTAAACGTCCAAGTGTTCATTAAATGTTGTAAATATTCGGAATTTGTCAATGATAATTATTTCTTAAATTCTCACCAGAAACTGACATTCCAAAATATAAAAATTAAGAAAAGTTATCTCAGTGTTCATTTGTCTGTTGTACAAACTGTTGAAATGATTGCTGTTAAGTGTATTATTTATATTATAGCTGTTTACAAATTGCATCTTTTTTTCTGCTCATAATATTATCATTCTAAGTTAGTTGCATTGTCGCAATCAACTGCTCAACCAAAGATCTTCAATTTTTCACTTATTTTTTTTCTGCATTTTGTTGTCATGTTACTTTTTTTGAGTATTTTATTTTATGTGGTTTTACTTGTAATTGTTTAAATAAAATATTAAACTTTTTTCTTAAATTTTGTGTATAACAGCTGACATTTGCTCGCCTACAAATAAATCAATGAAATAGATTAACAAAAAGGTTACTCTTCTGACAACTTATTCTTTATTGTTTAAATATTTTGTACTAAACTACAAAATAATTAATCAATGCATCAAAAAAGTGTTTGTGGTATGAGATTCAATTAAATCTTGCCAGTCATTTAGCTTTGTCTTTGATCTGCATGGTTGAATGTGTAAAAAAAGTGTGAATTGTTTTAAGATGTTTTATTTGATGTTTTTTGGGCTTTTTTTTTGAAGAGTAACATTTAAAGTTTTCTTGGTTTGCTACTGCTAAAGACAGTTTGAATGGTAAGGAATAAAGTTTCGTTGAGCTATATAAATAATATCGACTTGTCATTGAAAATTATTTCTCAGGTCCTTACCGGAAACTAATATCTCAAAGCATAAAAGTTAAAGGTTAAACCGTTGGTCAAAGACTATATCAAATTTAAAAGTTTGATCGAAATAAAGTTTTATGTTTTTCTAAAAAAACAAAATAAAAAACTTTAGATTTTAATTTATCAAGCTTTCGTTTCAATTTACGTTGATGACTATTCCAGCCACAAGACTACTGCACACTACACAATGACATCTGTACTATAAGAAATTAATGAAAAGGTTAAACCCTCTTCTTTTTTTTTTGATAAAAACTCGGCTTTTTCTCATCTCTTCTGTATTGCTTACTTTTATTTCTCGTTTTTTTTTATTTTAACAAAAAGAATATTACCTTCATTCTTAGTTTACTTCTACAAATAAATAATCGTCGTACAATTTCCGAAAGATGTTTCTGATAGTGTATTTTAGTTTATACAATATTAGGCCAACACATAAAAAGTTGTGCGAAAATAAGCCTGTTGCATTCGTATGTAATAAATTTAGAGGTTCTCTGTCAAAAACTTCTACACTTTGACAATTATTAACTACTATTGTTTACCTTCTTTTATTAGTACATTTAATTAGAACGATTAGGCTACTAGATTCTCTGGAAAATACCAATTCTTTTCAGTAATAGACCAGTAGTGTTTACAACTGCATCTTCTAAATTTACATTGTTCATTAAATGATAAGAAGCACCAGATGATCCAGTATTAGACATGTGTATTAGTATATACATTCATAAACGTCTTGTGAAGTTACAATAAAAATTTCTACTCTATCTTCTGCCAAAAAAAATATAATTACGAGTTTTTATCCAGTTTTTTCACTACCACATAAACATCTTTGATGGAATTATTAGTAATTTAGTATGAATGAAATTGACGGCATCAGTAGCATTGTAGTCGTACCTCTTTCAAAAGGCAAGCAATCATTTGCACAAACCCTGCGAAATGATGCAGAATACACTAAAAAAAATACTCCTACTACAGTGAACAAAAAGTATTCAGTAATAAAAATCAGCAGTTATAGGAACACACTTAAAATTGTTCGGTAATCGGTTCTAAGCGACAGAAAGAAGGTTTACTAAAAATGTATTGCAGTTTTTACCTACTTGTATGATTATAAAACATGATGTAACAAGAATAAATTTCTAATTATTTTGATAAAATGGTTAAAGTCAGCTTCCTCTAAATACTTATACTATTGTACCTTGTCAGCAAACCAAAAAGCAATGTCTTTTAACTGTTTAAAACATTTGTGTTCAAAAGTAATTTGAAATTATTGTAACAAAAAATAACCACTTTTTTTGCGCTATGGAACTTTAATACTTCAGCTGAAAAATTCAATTTTGCATAAACATTAACCTGCTTGGCAGTCAAGTTCAACATTTCGTATAAGCGAAGACTACAACAAAAATTGGTTTGAGAAAGAACAATTCAAAAACAGTATCGTTTGTCGTTCAGTATTAATCTAATACTGAACGACAAACGGTACTGTTTTTGAACTGTTGAATTATCGAGATATGTCATGGAATAAATGTTTCCTGTTTGTTAAAAAAATGTCAAAAAAAGCAGTTAATAAAACAATCAAAAAAATTTGCGTACTAAGTAACGCGATAAATGAAATATTTTTCTCTTTTAAGTAATTAAATTGTAATTATTACTCAAAATTATTTCTTCAATCAAACTGTTGAGGTCACATTCAAAGCCTAACGCTGCAAAATACAATCAATAGAAAAAAATTGGAACAAGATTGATGCCTGTCTTTTTTTTTTCTGAATTCAATAAATTTTTTAATAGAAGTGTCTTAATTTTATAGAGACGTTACTTCAGCAAGCTGGTCATATAAACTGCTAAAATGGTTTACACTAAATAATATAAAGTTTCACATTTAAGTTTTTAGAAAAAGTCAATTCTACCAAATTAAAATTGATCAAACAAGTTCTGTAGTTTCATCCTCTCCCTAAATCAATCATTACTTCAGTGCTGATTCAAACTTCTTGATAGTCCAAATCACGTTGCTCCTCTGATAAACAACAAACCCTACTTTCTTCACTCCCAACAATTCTAACAGCATAAAAATGTTTTTTTTTCCATACAAGTTTATCTAAAACTTGACTACATCTGCAATTCATCTACGGATAAAATGAATAAATAAAAAAATATAAATCAAGCAGCAGTTATGCAATGCAAAACAAGGTCTGGTCAAGCAATAAGTTTGAAACAAATACTTTACAGATTACGTATAATGACTGTTAATAACAGGTTTTCTATTGCTCTGTCTTCTTCCTTCGACTTTTTTATTGTTAAAAATTAATATTATCTAATAGTTGTATAAGCGAATAAAAATGTACACTAAATAAAAACAGGATGCGCTGAATTAGAAAAGGCGGTTGTCTCACCTATCCTTATTATTCCGCCATCCTGAGACAGAGGAGAAAAAAAAACAAAAGAAAAAGCCTCTAATGTAACAAAATTGTAAAAGATATGCATAGATCAGTGAAAACGTATTTAAAGACGGCATCGGTTGGTAGAAGACATAACTTATACCACGCTAACCAACAAACGGTATCCGTCATTTCAAAATGAGTCGTTTCGCTCCGTTCACAGCTGTTCTAGTTTTGCTAACTGCTCTATATCTAGCTTCAGGTAAGCTCTGTCCACTAAAACTGTTTTTCAAAACCAGGATTCCCTTAGTAAACAAAACAGTTTTACAAAAAACCTTGGCTTCAGTGTGTTTAAGGATTTTCATTTAACCATTCCTCAAAGAAAGCAGCACTTTCAAAGCACTTACTAGGAAAAGCTCTTAACAGGTCTATGATGTTTTCTGTCCCGTCATCCTGCAAAAAAATTCACTGACTTTCTAAAAGTTGTTATCTAAATAAAGTTTAATAAGGAGAACCAAGATTTCTAATAAATTTTGATATAAAAATAGACCATTCAGCTTTAGGTGATTTTGCAGGCATTGATGATGATGACTGGTTAGGCTCCTATTTCCACCACGACCATAAAGGTCACAATCACCCTCATCACCACCATGATCATGATCATGATCACGATCACCCTCATCACCACGACCATTACCACCATGATTATGGCCACGATCACCACTATGGTCACGATCACCCTCATGACCACGACCATCACCACTATGATCATGACCACGATCACCCTCATCACCACGACCATCACCACTATGATCATGACCACGATCACCCTCATCACCACGACCATCACCACGATCACGACCATCCTCATCACCACGATCAATACCATGATCATGATCAGGATTACCACCAGGGTCACGATAACCACGATCATGATCACCACCACCTTGACCACGACCATCACGATCACGATCATCATCACCATGGTCACGATCATAACGAACATGGAGACCATGATCATGAACACAGTAATGAGCATCACCACATAGAAGATGACGCTCATGGCCACGAACATGAGCATAATCATCATCACGACGGAGCTGGCGGCCATCACGAACACCATGACGATCACGACCGCGGTGATCACGAACACCATCATCACCACCATCATAACGATCAGGGTCATCATGAGCGCGATCAACAAGATGATCATGGTCATGGTTTTAGACACGGTGACGATGCTGGGCATCATCATGGGCTTGACGGACATTACGACAAACAAACGGAACATGGTCATAATATAGACTGGAGCAAGTTCCAATATGGAGGAACTGGTCATCATGAGAAGGATACCGACTGGGGTGAGAAACATCATCATGACAAAGGTCACGAGCATCACGACGATCACGGACATAATCATGGAGAGGACTGGGAACATCATCGTGAGGGACACAAACACCACGGAGAGGATTATGGCGAACGTAGTAATGAACATGGGCATCACGATCATGGGCACACCAATGATGTGCACAACCATGAAGCGCACCAGGAAGGTGACCATCATCGACACAACCAACACCACCATGGTCATCACGAACATAGTCACGAACACGATGGTCATCAGCACAGCGATGAGCACCATCATGATGACAGAAATCATCATGACGATGATCATGATCATCATGGTCATCATGACAACCGCTACGATCAGCTCCACCACCATCACGGTGATCACCGGCATCACCACGATGATGGTCATGACCACCACCATGATGATGATTATGACCACCACCACAGCCATTAAAGATGAATCTCGCATCTTTGAACGCAGTTCGAGTAAAGTCTCTTTAAAAACAATTTTTACCAAAAATTCTGTGATATATTAGCACTATTTCGCTGTTTTTGTTTATTATTCTACATTAATTGTATAAATAAAAGTATGATTTAGGTTCCATTGGTATATATGATAAGACAGATTAAAAACTGAAAGAATAGATTGATTGTGCACGTAATACGTTTATGATAAATTGAATGTAATTAAAAGCTCAAAAAACTAAACAAGTAGTAGTCTATGCCAAAAAATTTTTCAATTAGAAAACTCATCAACTGGAATGGTTTGGCAGATCGGTAGTGTTTGCTCAATGAAGTGTGTCTATGTCTTTTGCCAGAGATCATTAAAACGCGGTTGATCCTTTATTACGTAATAATAATGCTAATCTAAACTTCCAAAAAATATTTGTCTAACTTTTGCTTTATTTATCGATTAACAATTTAATTTTTTGAGTTTACTTTACACAGTTACAAAAGCTTTTGCTCAATAATGCTTACCAGATCATAATAATATGACACTCAAAATCAGTTGACTTTAACCAGTCAACAGTAGATGATTAGAAAATTGAAAAAAATAGTTGGAGTTCACTGCTGCTTGATTGAATTTCAGATATGTATTGAAAATTAAAGAAATATTTCTTCAAAATGGTACAGAACTAGTCCTTTTACTCCATTATTCAATTTTCAATTACCGATCAAAATTGAACCGCATGACAATGAAGAATTCGTTCTGACGAATGGTCTTTATTGATAAAAACCACTTAAAAACATTTGTCTGTGTAGAAAAAAATTCTTTTATTCTCTCTATTATTTTTACCACTTTTGTTATCTTTATATTTATTTGCTTTTGTTTTATTGTCATTATTATTATTATTATTACTATCAATGCAAAAATATTTTTTCTGTTTAGTATTTTCAATCTTTCACCAAAATATCAAGTAACTGTCAAGCAATTTATCTTCAACTTCTTTAACTTTTGAAAAACTGTTTTAGTAAAATTTCTTTCACAGGTTAGGCAGACTGTTATCTGAAAGATAATGAAATCAGTCTTTCAGATATAAAACATAAAGCATTCCTGATTAATAAGCAGCTGAACTAAGTTGCTGGCAGATAACAATTGACATATTTAGGATGCAGAATTCGCTGACTGAGTTCGGGTTCACAGCTCGTATACCATTTTTTAAGCATAAAAATTGCAGACGTCTGTCAATTATATTGAATTATTGCTGTATATGAGTCATTAAAAAAATATTACTTTACAACAACCTTTAAAAATCGTAACTTTTTAAAAGAAATTGGGATACAAGAAAACAAATATCAAAAAAATGCCACCATTGTTTGTTGAAAATAGAAATTTCGAAGAATGCGCAGAATATTCAAAACCCCGTAAAGATTTTATTCTGTGATACAGTAGCGTTGTATACTTCCAACCATATGATCAAACATCTTTTTTGCACCATCTAATTTAGACCGCAAACATTGGAGTTTCCTTGACCAGATTTAATTTGCAGAACTTGTCGCGTCTCAAGGATTTTTGCTTTTCAAACAAAATATAAATAAAATCTTTAAACTTGACGATCGCAAATTTAAATGGACCCTTGCAATTTTATACTAGCTTTTGGTTTTTCAGTTTCGTTGCGTTTCCCTGCCTTCTCAAAAGTGATTTCAGAAATAACTTGAAATACTAAAATTTGGAATTTTGTCTGATGTACTGGATTATTTTTCTTTATTTAACTTCGTCTTTTACTTCAAAAATGAGTGATCCTGATACAAAGAAAAGTTTTCTGAAGGAAATTTTGTTCAATGTTATGCTTTTCGGTTGCTAACGGCACCAACAAGCATGTAAATTCTTTATTGGAAAGTGGCTGGTAGCTGTTTGGTTCTAGTAAGCAATATTTTTTTTACGTCTTTTGACTGTTCCAATTTCACTATGGCCGTATCGCAGTACAGTTCTCAATACTGAAGAGACTGCATTTTGAAAGATACTTAGTATAGTAAGTCATAATTTTTCAGAATGCGGAGACAATTTGTTTCGCACAAATATCGTTTGTCGCTAATAAACAGAGCGTATTGAACGACCACTAAAAGGCTTAAGCTTTCTCTCGGAAATTACAACAAAAATTACTAAGTCGCGATAATGAAAGCAAGAAAAAGATATCCTTTCCAATTCTTCCTCATTCTTCTTCTTAGTTTTCGCTGAATAATTGGTTTGCTTTTTGTTCGGAAATAAAGCAGTGGCTTTATAAAATCTCAGAAACTTTTGCCTGTTTGAATAAAGAGATAAAAGAGTAAGAAACAGATGCAACCTAAAAATTCAATTTTTACGTGTTATAAAACAACGGGTTTCAGCGAACATCAAAAGAAAACTACCGATTTTCAACGTATGAACCAAACTTGTTCTAATCATCTTTTTTGTAAAAATTACCCATTATTCAAAACGACATATGAAATTTTTGAAATGTCTGAAAACACTCACTGTATTAGAAGAATACTCAGGACAATAACTTCCTGGTGTTTACAGGTTTCTAAGTTAATTATAGGTTTGGCTTCACGTTAAACGGCTAAGAACTATTTTACCAGCAACTGTTGGTATAAAATGTGCTCAAATTAACTTCACTTTCTGTTTCTTCTACCTGTTGAGCAGTCGTAACATATAAAGTAAAAATGGCAAATCCAGCTCTTTTTATTCAATAATATACGTATATTTTTGTTCAATATTTATTTTAAAAGCCTTATAATGTATTAGAATTTTATTAAATATTTAATTTAATACAACGTTGCAAACATCATTGCGTAGATATTATTTTGCTGCTAAAATTCGTATTTTCAAAATATTGGTTTCAGCAAGATTGCTTCTATTAGCGCAGCGTGCCTACAGCGCACCAACATTCACTCATTGTTCGACGAGTACATCGTCCAAATCAGGCGTTATTCTACAGTCCGTCTGTTTATCGATTTTCTCGCCAGATTTACCAGCTTGTGGTTTCTTTAATATCGTCGGTGTTTAGGATTAAGGGACAACGCCACTACTTACAATTATTACTGTAAAAGAAAAAGTAACAAAAAAAAAATGAGTAGATATAACAAATTGTGAGTTTAAAATCCGTATTTTTGCATCTTTTCGACTTCATACTAGCTTTAATTTCGTATTAGTTCCACCTTAGTTTAAGGTAGAGAGTTGAAGTATCGATTTTACCAGAAGTTTCATATAGATTTATTTGCATGGTATTACACTGAAAGAAGCATCTCTGGTAATTTTACCTAGCTTTTCTTTTGTCTCAGTAACATCCTTTTAAGTGGTAGCAGCGGCAGCAGCAGTAAACGCTACGGTTCGTCATCTCGTGCAAGTAATCCGTATGGTGGTGGAACTCGTGGAGGTAAAACTCGTGGGTCTGGGTCGTTCACTAGGGGTGGAAAGGGGAGTCAGTACGGTATCTTTTCTATCTTTTCTGCTAGTTCTTTGGAGACCTACGTATTTTTAAGCTTTTTTTTACCAGATAGCTGGGGATTAGAATAGTTTTCAGGAGCTGGCCGAAATATTGGTGATATGCTAAAACCTATCGATTGGGACCAAGAGAACTTACGCCCCTTGCAGAAGAATTTTTACCGTCAGCATAAAGCAGTTAGTGCTAGAAATGAAGTGAGCAGAAGTTGCTCTGTTATTGTAATACCAATAGCTTTTTTCAGATTCGTAAAATTACGCTTTCTTATTCTGAGATAGTTTTATAGGGTCTTACAGGAGGATATTTTTCTAGATTTTTTTCAGTATGACATCAATCTTTGGTACCAAGAGAATCAGGTAACTTTGGAGGGCAAAGAAATACCTCGTCCAGTATTCGAATTTGCTGAAGCAAATTTCCCTGGCGAAATTGCTAATATTCTCTATGCAAATTTTCAAAAGCCTACCACGATCCAGTCGATTTCTTGGCCAATTGCCATGAGTGGGAGAGATATAGTTTCTATAGCTAAAACAGGGTCAGGAAAAACTTTGTCGGTGAGCACTTTAAACTTAGTTTAGTTGACTTTTCTTGAATTAATGTCTCTATACTTATCATCTTAAGTTTATTTTGCCTGGTATCATGCATACACTCGGACAACCACCGCGTAGTCATCATGAGGGACCGTCGGTCTTGGTTCTACTTCCGACTCGTGAGTTAGCACAGCAGGTGCAAGAAGTTGCGAAAGATTATTGTGCTGCGATGGGTCTGTCATTAACATGTTTATTTGGCGGCTCACCGAAAGTTACACAGGCACGTGACCTTAAGAAAGGTAGAGTTTTCCAGAAGCTTTTATTTTGCATTTTATGTGATTGTGGTCTGCGATTGCTCGTATTCATTTTCCACTTTTATAGGTGTCGATATAGTAATAGCAACTCCCGGTCGTTTGAACGATTTCTTAGAAGTACGGGCAACTAGTCTAAGGAGATGTTCATATCTTGTTTTGGATGAGGCAGATAGAATGCTTGACATGGGTTTTGAACCGCAGATAAGAAAGATAGTCTCTCAGATACGGGTAAAGTATTCCGCTTACTCTTCCAGGGTTTTATATGCATATTCATTTTTTTTTTTAAGTAAAGTAGTAAATGTTTTAATACAGTTGAGTCGCTATTTAACTGTTAATGTTTTGCATTTTACGGATTGTTCTGGTATTAGTGCATAATTTGTGCAGTAGTAATAGGTGTTGCATTAATACATTTATTTTTTAGCCAGATAGGCAAACGTTGATGTTTTCGGCCACTTGGCCCAAAGAAGTTCATAATCTGGCAAGGGATTTTTTGATTGATCCTGCGAAGTTAACGGTTGGTTCGTTGGAACTTGCAGCCAATCACAACATCACTCAGGTTGTTGAAGTTATGAATGAGTCTGGGAAGCAACGTCGTTTAATGACACTCCTGAATGACATTATGAACCAGGTATGCATAGTGTGCGTTTTCTAACTTGACTTTAATTTTTATTAAAGCTATGACGTTTTTTTTAGCCTGAGTGCAAAACTCTTATCTTTGTGGAAACGAAAAGAAAAGCAGATAACTTGACGAGGTTCATGCGTCGCGATGGTTGGCCAGCTCTCTGCATTCATGGCGATAAGGGACAGTCGGAACGTGAATGGGCTCTTTCAGGTGGAAATTTTGTGACATACAAAGCAGTTTTCCGTTTTTTTTTCTTTTTTTTTTTGGTGGGAGGGGACTTGGGAGAGGGGTTGCGTATTTTTTAGGTGTTTTCAAACTGATTTTTTCAGAGTTCAAAACTGGGAAAGTACCGATATTGCTTGCTACTGACGTTGCTGCGCGGGGTTTGGGTATGTATGAGCATTAATGGTTTACTGTGTATCATACAAATGTCCTAACTTTTTAAATAATTAATTTAAAAAGTCACTGGTTCTCTAATTTGTCCTTTTGTGTAGATTTTTTTCTGATTTATTTATAATGAGTCTTATGAAGTTAAGGGTCTGACAGCCTGGGAGCAATGGCAGATTCTATTTTTGCTAAAAAATTTATTTGCTATTTAAGTGCTGGTAATAATATCCATAGTAAAGTCTTGTTTTGTGGTAGTAAATGTAACGTGGTTTGAAGCCGTTTGAGGACAATTGTTAATTGTTGCTTCTTTTAGAGTAGCGGTTGACCATGCGCCCTCAATCCGGTTTTATCTAATAAGGAGCTTAAGATTAGTTAGTAAGGTTGTGGTTAGTCATAGTTTGACTTGTCTTACGCGTCTCTTGGAAGGTGGACGTACCAGTGTTTACTCTCAGCCGTTTTGCTGGGAACTTCTATTTCCGCATGGCTTGCAATCGACTGTTTGGATGGATTGCTATGTCGAAGGCTTATTTTTTGCGCCTTGCGGTATAGCAGTGGAAAAATTAAATGTCGGCCATGTGTGGAATACACTGGAATTCACGTACATCGTTTTCCGCTTTGCATCCTATTTCTTTGTATATTGGTTTCCTCGCTTCCTGAACAGGATGTGTTTCTCTCGTGATTCAGGTTAGATTTCGCGCTTTTATTATTTCTTCTGGGCGCGAATTTCTTACTCTGATGGATTGCTTATGCTGGAGTATATTCTCTGTTCAGATTTGTCGAGGTTTTTTCGTAATTGAATTGGTGGTTCCTTTTACCGCGAAATTATGTCCTAAATTATATTTCTCATTTCAAACAAATTACGCAAGGGGTTTCAGAGACTCACTCTTCGTGACTTTTCGGGGTGGTTGAAAGTCTTAAGGGGTCACTGCTGGGGTCTTTTATTATTATTCCAAAATTTGTCGTATTTTTCGATGGAGGGAAACACTTCTCTTCACCACACTAACACTTCCAGTGATCAAAGCTCATTTTCACAACATTCGTTTCATTTTAATTCCCACTTACCTTTCGTGTTCAGATGTTGACGACATAAAATTTGTCATAAATTATGATTACTCGAATAATTCTGAAGATTACGTACATCGCATTGGTAGGACAGGCCGTTGTGAGAAAAAGGTCAGTGCTCAAGGATTTTTAAAAGCATAAGTAATTTTAGGAAGTATGTGGCTGTTTTCTTTTCAGTTTTATAAAAATTTTTGTTTATTTAGGGTACAGCGTATACGTTTTTTACTCCTGACAATGCGTCGAAAGCTAGAGATCTCATTAAAGTAATGGAGGAGGCAAATCAGACAGTTCCGGATGCTCTGTACGAGATTGCGAAGTCGAAAGATGCTTCGAATAATCTTAATCACAGGTTTATAGGCATAGTTTTCGTTTGAGAAGAAGGCTAACGCTTCCGCTTAAATTTTGATTTGTTACATCGTCCCGCTGCTAAATTTTTATGTTACAGGAACGGCTTTAAAAGAAGTTACAACTCGTACAGCAACAATGATTATTACGGGGCCAAAAGGCCTCGGTTTGATAATTTTGGAAGTCGACAGAATGGAGGTCGTTATGAGCCGTGGTGATTCCTTGAAATTGAGCTTTTTATTGATTCTGTATGTTTTTTGTTGGAATGGTCTGTTGATTTCATTGTTTTACTGCTGCATCTAGTCGACATATTCGAATATGAGTGTGTCTTTTTGCTAGTGGAGATGGTGTCCTCAAATGTTGTTAAGGTGGGAAATTTATAGGGGTTTATTGTGGGGTTAACGTGTTCTTTTTCTTTTACTTCTTGCGTGATTTTGTGGGACCTCACTCTAGTTTTACTTCGGATGTCTAAAGGTGATTTCACGCATTATTTGTTTGTTGAAGTGCAACAGCGAGCGGTTCGCTCAGTGTAATAAATAATTTTTTTTTGTTGACTGTGAAGGAGTTCCTTTTGCGTTGATTTGTGGACGTTGAGATTGTGTTAATCAGGGAGGGGAATTTCCATTTGTTTTTGCATCCGGAGATGTCGTTTGGTCATGATTTCTTGTTGCCAGATTGGTTGTTTATTTCGCTCTATCAAAAGTAAGGTTCTCGTGATCCGGGCTTTAATGTATTTTTACTACAGCATATCGCAATATCCAGCGCGGCGGTTGGAAGTCTTCGCAGTGTGTCTTTACAGGAAAGTCCCGAAGATGGGATGTTCCAGTGAGGTGCCATCGGCAGATGTGAAGTGCACCGGCCATGTACTAAGCCACTGGGTACCGTAACAGGCAAAGGTTCATTAGGAGGCAAATGTTGTGATTGTGGGATGTGCAAACGGGTTGAAAGTGCCAGTCGGTTTGGCAATAGCCAAGTGTTAGTATCGGATTGCGGTGAAAAAGTTTTGGACGAAGTTTTCTTACCGTCCAATTATAGAACTACATTTTGTAAGCTTGCAGCAATTCAAATTTTTCAGCTACAATTCTTTTTTTTTTTGACGGAAATCTTTGTCTCATCGTCATTGAGACTGTCATTATATCCTGCCGTATCATCTGGTACCTAACCACGTTCACCGTAGTGTATTTCATGTTTTGACCAAGTAAACACAACCTGATTTAAACATCTTGTAGTGATTTTTGTATCCACAAAAAGCTTTTGGCATTTCGTACCTTTTCAACACGTTTGCCTAACCCTTCAATGCTTACAAATTTCTTTGTCTATGTTGTACATTTATTTATAATGACCGAACATATTTTATTAGTCTTGGTTAACTTTGTCGCACCATCCATTCTATGTAATAAGTATTTAAAAGTCATTGGGCAATAACAATTCTAGAGAACTTTTTTACGAGATAGATGAGCTCTCGCTGCGACTGCAAAAGAAAAAAAAACAAAAAAGGAGAAGAGAAGAAATATACAATATGATGTTTTAAACATCAATAACGTAAGGGTTTTCCACTCAACCAATTGGAAACCTTTTCAAAACCTTTGAGGCGTTTGTTTGATTATCTGAAGTTGTCACAAAGAAGAACGAAGAGAATTTCAAAAAAAACGTCCTAGTATCTAAAAAAAACTTTGAAGCTTTCAGTACAGTAGTAAACAGATGATTTCCGACAAACTACAGCTATACATCATCTTCCATCTGAAAAAAAAAAAGAAAAAAGAAAAAAAAAGAATACAAGCAATAAAGCATATTACAGCAAGCGAGACTTAAAACAATACTTAGAAGACTTAAAAGCTGTTTTTATTTTGCACAAATATGAAAGCGCCGTTAAGTCATACGGGAGAAAGACGAACGAAGAGAATTTCAAAAGAATCATTTGTAACGAAGATCGACAGAATGATAGTTTTTTCCTAATATTTGTTGATTACCCGTTAAGATTATTCTTGCTTAACCTTAACAATGGTTATCCATTTCCTAAGAAAACGATATGCGATAAAGACTGGAGTTAGAAGTATTAATGCAAGCAAGATCAGTCCAGGTATCGCTATATCCAATAAGTAGTATTGGAAATAACTAAGTCGAACACATGCTGGTGACAAATTTTCTGTTTCCTTAAATTCGGCTGCGAACTCCACGTGTCTTATCACACGTTCTTTAGCGGATACAGGCTTTTTAGCAATCATTCTTGATAATCTTACTGCTGCATTTTTGTATCTGTAAATAATGAGGTGCGAGTGACAGTCGAACGCTGATATTCTTTGAATATGATAATATTTCTATTAATCTATGTTTAAAAACAATAAATTTTGCTTTATTAGAGGTTTAAATAAGTATTTTGTTGTTGCTGTTGTTTATTGCTTAAGACGTTAGTTCTTAAAAAAAATCATTAATTGTAACTAACACTAATCCAGTTTGAAGTCAAATTAGATCTAAAGTTCTATTTTTTATTACTTGAATGCTATAAGCAACAGTATTTTACTGCTGTAACATCATATTGGCAAGAAACGATTTCTGAATAAATATAAAACTGAAGAAAGTTGAATTACTCAAAAATAAATTTCTTAAAGCATTTTTTTACTTAATTCTTACTTTTTGCTTTTAATTTACTTTATTCTTATTTGTTTTTGTCTGTTATCTTTGTAGTGATTGTCCTGGTACAATCAAACTAAAAAATAAAGCTTAAAATAAAGAAATACTTTGGTTCATAGAGGACTGCATGAACAGCCTTGGTGAGCACTTCGACATTGAGTCGTTGCTTGCTAACAAAGTAACCAAATCCTCTTTTCTCGACCATTTTTGAGTTTCTTGCTTGTTCCACAAACAACGGAATACACACCATTGGAACACCAGCAAACGCTCCTTCCATTAAACTGTTCATACCGCAGTGCGAAATAAATGCGCTAACCTTGGGATGATCTAAAATTATTGGGTTATCAGCCAAAAAATCTTTAAAATTAAACTTTGTCATACGTACATGTAGCTGTAATCATAACGCCTACTTTGTTTTACTTTTTATTTCCATTCTTCTACACAGCTATACTGTTTTTAGAAAGAAATAAAATAAAATTTCTTCTTCTGCTTCCTTAACAATTGTATATTTATTTAAAATTTTTCTTGACAAAATGGTTAACAAAAAAGTTTGCTCACTTATCAAATCGTTCTGAGGAATCCATGTTCGTTTATAAACATTTGTCATATTTGCAGCAACGTCATCTTCATTTTCATATTTCCATATGAAAGTGACCTGAAATTGGAGTTTATAAAATGAACAAAATTTTGCTAAATCATAATTTTAGCAGACTTGAATGTAACATTTATGGTCTTTAGATCGACTTACTTCTGGAAAATTGCGGAACATTCCAATGAAGGAGTCAAGAACATTACTAAGGGCAACACTGGAGTTTGCCATCGTCCCAAATGATATGAACATCACAGGTCCTTTCGCATTGTTAACAATTGTTTCAAATTCCTAGGATAAACTTACTAATGTACTGATAAAATAAGAATTGAAAAGTCGCAGGGTTTTTGGATTCTTTGTTGTCTACAGGTTGAAGTGGGTTATTACTTTAGGTAACGGCTTTGGATCCGGTACAGCGACACCTCCAACAAAGACGATTTTGTGGTTGATTGGCCGCGGGAACTCAATGAATTCATCTGTATTAACAAACACAAATGCAGACTTTCGAACAAATTCCTGAAAAGAAACTTTTCTTGTAAAAATTCAAAAGATACAGAGGAAATACTATTAACAATAGAAGCGCCAAAAATTTATAGCTTTAAATTGCTCTATCACCTGAATCTTATTTATTACTTAACACTAACCAAGACAAACTTGTCTTTAATAAATTATTATAGAGGCAAAGACAAATATGAGTAATCTTATGTAATAAAAATTCTACTAAAAGCAAAGCACAAGGAGTTGTTCCGCAGAATTAATATAAGCGAAAGAATTGTAGAACCAGCTGAATAGCTGTTAGCATTACCAAAGATAAGCCAAGAATTACCCTTATATTAAAACCAGGTATCAGATTTGCATAGTATTCTTCAACTGGTAAGTAGTAGAGGCTGAACGCTCGTAAAACGAGCATTGTCAAGACATTTTGCCAACGTTCAAAATAGTTCATTTCATCGCTTAACGCGCTTAGCGTACCTGAAGTAGGTTTCTGCAAGTTGGAAAACTAAGCGCCTTTTTGTTTGTCCTTTTCGATCTTTTTTTTTGAAGTAGCCAGATAAAAAAATTCTAGGCAGTGCTATAATTGAAAAAAGTATGAAGCGGTTACCGGGAACAAAGCTGGGATTGTTGTCAATACCAAAAGGTATAGTTGAAAATTCTACCATATTGGTACAGTAGCCGGTGATAAA